GGAAAAGCCATGCCTTAGTTGAAAACAAAGCAGACCAACTCTTCCATGTATTCCCTATACACTGAGAGCACTGTTAAATCAAGAAAGCTCTTTTCTATGCTCCCACTGCTCCAATACTTTTAATCTCCTTCACTGATGATTACACGCATCCCTTGTTATGAAGTGCTCACTATGGTCCCTAGCTACTTCCAGGAGATGCTCCCCCAGGTTACCTCTGCAGACAGAGCTATTCCTCTCCAGTTTGGAAATGAGCCATCCATCCTCCTTTGTATCAGCTGTGCTTCTCTGCCCCCAAAAGCCAAGTCTTACTTGTTCAACCTTCACTCTCTTTTCCATCTTTCACTCCCGCAGGAGTAGTCTGTGCAGTGCCCAAGGTGCACTGAGCTGTTTATTAGTGAGGTTTTTTCCTGTGGCAGTGCAGAGAGGTCAGGGTGTGACGTGTAATGAAAACCAGAGGAGCATCGTACATGGTCTTACCAACATGACCTATGTGTGTGGTTTAATTGCTGCATAAAATATGCAAAAGCACTTGAGGTCATTTAGAAAAGTTGGGGTGTTTACAGGAAAGTAGAAACTGAGCTTCAAAAAATAATTACACTTGTTTTAATCATTTTAATGACTTTACAGAAGATCCTTTTAAATATGTCCACGTATGGGTTTTAAGCATTCATTCCACGTCGGTATTTCACCTTTTTCCTTAAGTGATTTCTTTATTCCTACTAACCAACAATCATTTTGTCTGAATCTCATTTCCTCATAATAGCAAACCCATCAATCTCTGCTTTATTAAACAGGGAAGCACGCTTGGAAGCCAGAGTGCTCAGATTTGATAAAAGGTGTTATGCAAACCATTGATTTTAATTTACAGCAATATCCACTTCTTCCATTATTTACAGCTTTGAATTACTGGACTGAATAATTAACAAATATTCTTACTTCTTGATAGATTATTTATAAGGCAGATGTATAGAAACACAGCCCTGATGAACATCCTTCCTGCACCCCCAGTGATGCATATGCCTCTTTAATGTTCCCCAGGGGAACAATGCAACATGGCATGAGAAAAACACTCTTTGGAGAAATCTCCCAAACACTTCCGAAACTATTATCACAGCAAATGCTTCATTGACAAGTGTGTCAGTGTGTGTTCCTGACCTGCTGGTCTCTGTTCAGAGCCCAGGCTGTGGCCGGCCAAGTCAAATGATGCAGAACAGGATGCCTGTGCTTTCAGGGCAGGGGTGCCTGTGTACACTGGCTGAAGCTGAAGCACCCCTCAGTCTTTGAGCAGGGCAGCAGCTGGTGACATGTGCCTCAGTGCCAACCCCCTCCCAGGGCACTGCATAGTTGAGTAAGAAGCCCCATCTACAGCTGATGGCCAGCTCACTTCCCTGGCAGGGTTTGGGGATGAGGGAGGTGTTGCTCCCCCTCTGTACATGCTGCACAGTGGAGCTGCAAGGTGCTCAAATAAAGCAATGATGAGAATTGTTTAGGGACAGCAGAAGGATGGGCAAAGGTAGATAAGACAAACTATAAATCTAACTCAGCCTGGCTCTGTATAAACTAAACCATCATCATCCTCCATACTACTGTGCCAGCATGTGTGTGTGCGCCCATACTCACTCAGGAGGACAAGGAACATCTTTTGTATGGCACTGTTCGGTGTGGTTTGACATTTTGTTTCACAGATGCAGCCACAAAGCAATGTTAGCCTATTGTGAAGGCTTATTTAGACAGGTACAATTACAGCTTGGCAGTAAAGGTGCCTTTGATCCCAGCATCCTCATTGTTCCTGAGGCTCTTCATCCCACCTGGTACCCAACTAGAAGGCCTGTGGCTGAAAACTGCCTTTGAAGTTCTTTTCCATTTCACTTTAATTTTTGTGGTGTCTTCTGCTAATGAACATTATTAACGAAGCCTGTGGCATTCAGTTGTGCTCAAAATACTGATGCTTGGCAGGTGTCTGACCTTCCCCAGCTGTGCAGCAGTGACCTGCAGGAATAGGGCAAGCGGTGGTCCCAGAGCCATGTGTGCACCTCCAGCAGAGGAGAATCACCTTGTGCATCTGTTGTGCATGGTGCCCACAGGGAAGGACCCGCTCCTGGCCGCTCATCCTTTTCCAAAGGACTTGGCTACAGTGCAGGTTCATGTGTCAGCAGCTCTCACCTTCCTGCCTCCCAAAATCTTCAGTGCAGGATTTACTTCTGAGGAAAATAAGGTCTTGCAAATCAGCTGTATGTGGGGATGGCTGGGAAAGAGGGAGAGTGATTTCTAGCAGGGGGAAGGAGGGACACCTATTCTAGGAACAGCCATGTCACCAGTTCTTTAGGGTGGCTTGGAATTTCAGTGTTAGAATAAGGAATTAGATGCCAATTACCCTTAGTTTTGAGGAAATAATGTCTGTATGGCATTCAGGGTGCTCACTGGTGATTAAGCAGCACAGAAGCTGATGCCATTTGCTTGATTTTGCATTTAGCATGTTACTGTGAGACCAAGAAAGCAAGCTGCCCAGAGATAGTGTTCACCATGTACTGAGACTTCAAAAGACAGACCAGACAAGAAGGCAAAAGAATCCTTCACAAGTTGTTAAACACAAGCCTGCTGTGGTGCAGACCTTTGCAGCATGAGACAGCATTCAAGGGAGGTGCTGCTATATGTGTGTACGTATTTCGTTTCCTACAGGCCGCTGTCAGAATGATGGATTATACACTTCCTTTTGATCAATAGGAATTTTATGTGGTCAGATGAGAGTAAGTATGACTGGGCCAGTGTAGGCAAATTGCAGGCAGCAGTTGCAGTGTAATTGCAAGAACTACAGGCACAAAACTCACTTGTTGCAAGAGTTGTCCAAGAACTAATGAGCCAAGGTGTCAGGAAGCAATGCTCTCCCGTAAAAACTGAGAAAGACACATTTAGTTCGGACAGAGCCTTGTCAACATTTCTGAATGCACTGAAGTATTTGCCTGGAGCTACCAGGTTCTTGGAGCGTTTAACTGCCCTCACTGAAGTTGTGCCAAGTTCAGCAGACAACTCTTTCTAATTAAGCGCAAACTTTCAGATTCTAAACAGAAACACATCTTGGCTTTGCCTTTCTCCTATCTTAGCATCTATAATTGACTTGCACAAAAATAAGTGTCTTACTGGGTGAAAACCCATGGCTATGTCTGACTCCTTCAGCATAACCTTCCTTCTTAAGCAGGACTGTGTTTACTGACATTTGCACTGATAAAAAGCAGGGCAAAAGAAGCAGTGATGCCTTTACCTCTGGTCTGGGATCATTCGTTCCAATACACGACAAAACCCAGTTCCTTACCTGATACCCTTCACCCTTAGCCACCCATACTTCCTCTCCTGGTACCCCTGCAGTCTACCTTCACAAGGCCACGTGCCTGGCAGCGCGAAGAGACTTTTTGCTATCCTTATAAATAAACATCCTCATCTCTCTCCCAGTGATGTATATCTTTGTAAAACATTTAAAATCAAGAAATTCATAAGATATTGTTCATACTCAGTATGAAGAGTTCAGCCTCAGCAGGCTGCAATCTGACCTACTGGTGCAAAGGGCAGTGGGTAAAAAAAGTTGTACTCAAAATGGCAATGCTTTTAGGACAAAAAATTGAGATTATGATTAAGTGGGTGTTCTACAGTGCAGGCTCAGGGTGAGGTCAGTTGCTAGAAGCTTATTAACATGGTGCAGGTAGTGGAAGCAGGATTTCAGCAGTCTCTAATCTTTTTTAGCTTTGCCAAAATCAGGAAAATTCAGAGAAATAAAGTGTAAAAGTCCGGGCTGTATTTAGTAAATAAAATGTGACCCCAGAGGAAGCCAAAGTAAATCAGAGTAACAGTTCAATCTCTCAGTTACCTGCGCAATCTCACAACATTTATCCTAGGTGCTGAATATCAGCTCTGTATGCTGTGAAGAAATTTACCTGCTGAATTAGTGTCAAGTGCTGCTCTTAAATGCCAGTGATGCTTGATATATGATGCTGGCTATGCTTGATAATATGAACAAACACCCATTCTCACCTATGTAAAGTCATAGGGAAAATTACACATGATGGCAAAGGTTTAGGATGCATTTTGTTCTGGATTCATAATTAGAAATATCTTTAAAAGAAAAGTGGCACAAAATTTTGTAAATAAAACCAATTTTTGAGGAATTGAACACTATATATTGTATGCTGTGTATTGCCTCACTGCTTTGCAGGCTCAAAAACCCAACTTTTTTTGAGACATTTGACAAGATATTTGTAGAAGTGCAAACTTAAATTATGTCCACATTGTGTGTTTGTGTTATCCTTCCTTGTTCTTTTCGTTCTCTTCATTAAATGAAAGAAATTATGGGTGTCAGGGTAGAGGGATGTTAGATTCCTTTTAAAACTTCATTTTCTTTTCCCTAACTAACTGTGGAAAAAGAAAAGTTAAAAAGAAAAAAAAGCCAGACTGCCTTTTGTTCAGTGGCACAGAGTGAAAAGAAGAGAGAACAAGGGAAAAGATTACATAGATTTCAAAATCCAAGGTATAAAACGCTCATCTTGAGGAAAACCTTGAAAAGAATGGAAAAACGAAAGAAAACTGAAACACTTCTGCAGAGAAAATAACTTTATTTATCGAGGTGAAAAGAGAATGAAAATGTTTTCATCCAGAGGCTCTGAATTGGAAGGGACTTTCAGAAATCAGGAACAGTTCATTCCAGCCCTTAGAAATTGGTTCCCTCACTGTATGTGCTGGTGTACCTGTCACAGGGAGAGCAGGTGGCCACGGGTGTTGGGGGTATCCTCTTCCTGTACCCTTTCTACTGATGAACACAAGCCTTGCAGCTTTCCCCACAAACACAAAGTCTCTTTGTTAATGGTGCTGGTGGAAAGACTGCCTTGCTGTGTGGGGATGCTGCTCTCGCACTAACTACAAGTTCCCAAGTACCTCAGCGCTGCCCAGGTGATCCTCTTCCAGTGCCACTGTAGCTTCTTTTGTTTTCTCTTCTATTTCTGTGTGCTCCCCAGTTCGAGTGAGGGCTTTGGCGTTGCGGAGAAGATCGTGCTGCTCACCTTCATCTCCGCCGTTATACTGATGGCCATCCTGGGGAACCTGCTGGTGATGGTGGCTGTGTGCCGGGACAGGCAGCTCAGGTGAGCCCACCCAGCCAGGGTGAAATGCCCATCTAACAGGGCCCATGTCCACAGCTGAGGGCATAAACTGTTGTCATGAGGGGTGTCTTTGTCCGTGCATTGCACCACTGCAATGTCAGACTCACACTACCTCAGTGCATCCCCACTTGGATTTCTACTGGGGTGGTGGGATCAATTTAGTATCCATCCTCTACATTTTTAACACCCTCAATGTACAAAACCCAGATAAATCAGAAAAAACCAGAGCTAATTCCTTGGAGAAGCAGCTTTGCCTCTACCCCTTTTCCATCTCAGGTTTCCTAATAAGCCCATAGAAAAACCATGCAGATCAAGGTCCTGCAGCCATTGTGCTGCACTGCTGCAGCTTAGCAAAATGCTGCCCGTGAGCTGGGGGAGGAGTGTCAGAGGCAAAACTCCTGTCTCGATGCTTGCTACCTCTGGGAGTTGTCAGACCAGCTGCAGGAGCAGAGTGAGATATTCAACAGCCTCTATTCATATTCTGCGTGGGATTTTTAATGGATTTAATTCTATTTTATTGTTATGATTTAAAAAGTACTCTTCAAGTTAAAATTACAGCTTCAGTCTTGATTCTTCTCAGCGCTTTCTGGAAGGATTTTCTCAATTTACAAGTTGAAATAAAGTTCCCCTCTTCCAACCCAAACTCTCCAATACAAGCTGTGAGGCTGAGCCACACGCAGAGGCCTGTGAGCATCTATTTGCCTCTTCTGTGTGAGCAGAAGGATGTGTTTATGCAGGGAAGATGGTGGATATTAAGCTGTAAAACCCAGGAACAAGCTGGCAGTGACCATTAAAATGAGGATTGCATTAGAGAGGACCATTTAGTGTGATGAAGTGAATTAGACCTGAGCAAGAGCTGAGATCTCTGTCCACATGTAAAGGATGCGGCGCTGAAACTATTCCACCCTAATTTTGTGATCTGCCTTGCAGGAAAATCAAGACCAATTATTTCATTGTTTCCCTTGCCTTTGCGGACCTGCTGGTGTCAGTGCTGGTGATGCCGTTTGGAGCCATTGAGTTGGTTCAGGACAACTGGATCTATGGGGAGATGTTCTGCCTGGTCCGGACATCCCTTGATGTCCTGCTCACCACAGCATCAATCCTGCACCTCTGCTGTATCTCGCTGGACAGGTATGAACAGAAGAGCATAGAGAATAATTATAGTTGCTTTAAGTTTCTTCAGTGTCATTGCTCATCAGCAGTAGCCAAAGGGAAATATGAACCTGCTGGGAACTGTAAAGCAACAGATCTTTCTCAGTAGCTGATTTTGGCGGGAGGTTTCTGAATTCTCATGAGTATAGAAAAACTTTGAAAGGAATGAGATTTATATCAATAGAGGAAGCCAGGTTCTCAGCAGCTTTGCAGCACAGCTCTGTTTGCATTACTGACCAGACGTGGCACAGTTTCTAGTTTAAAGAAAAGACGCCTTAAAGATGGGTACAAAGGCAAGTCCTGTGCGTCGTGCGTAGGATGCTGTTTTAGCAGGGATGTTGCCCTCCATTACAACATCGGGTGCTGCTCACTGCCAGGGGCTGTGGGCAAGGCTTGGCTGGTGCATGGCTTGATGTGTTGTGCTGAGCTCTGTCTTCTTAGGGACAAAACGATGAAATTATCTGTCTTTCTCTCTCTTGTCGAAAGAATATTTGATGTATCTTCCAAATGCTATCAGAACTGCTCTTCCTGCTGCTAGCAGCCATACAGGCAGAAGAAAACCTGTATTACTAAATGACATTGTGACATATATTACTAAATTATATGGAGAAAGAGCAAAAAGAACACACACATATCCCCTAAATTTTATGGGCTATTTTTCTAAGGCATCCATTTGCTCATCTCCACTAGTAAAAGGCTAACAGGGATAGTAAAGCTGGTGGAAAATGTGTATGGGCTTTGTGGAAAATACTAAAAACTTTCTTTTCTTTTTAACTTTTATTGCAAAATTAAGATGAAGCCAAAGTCCTAAACAGTTTATGACATATAGTTCTGGTTTACTGTTGTCTGCAGCTATTCAGGGTAAATGACAGAACTTCCCATACAGAATAACGAGAGTTTTTCACAAGATAAATCCTTAGAAGAAATCATTTTAGCCAGCCGTTCTAATGAGCAGTATTTAGAGCTTTCATTTGAGTTCTGTGGAGAGATTTCAAAACCTTTAAAAGTACTATTACTTATTATTACTAATATGGCCAAAATAATCATTCTCGTCATCATGACAGCTGATATTTAAATAGCATCTTTCATCCAAAGAGTCTGTACACAACCAGACTTCAAAAGGTACTTGATTAACTTCTCCACTGATGGGCAGCACACTTTTGTTGTGGGACAGCAGGCACAGGCAGTGTTGTATCCAGAGAGAAGCTGATGTGCAACAGCTACAGTGCGTCTCCTAATCTGGAAGTTTAGGTGGCTGGAATGCAGATACGAAGCTCATTATCTTGAAAATGTTGCCACTTTGAGCCAATTATCAGTAAAGCAGATGTTAGGCACTGCACTCTGTATGTGGCCTTGTTATACAAAATGTTGGAGTTTGATTCTCCAGGCTCTTAATTAAGCAGGGGGTTGTGTAGAGAAGGGGGTGTGAAGGGAAAATGTTATTTTACCCTTCCTCTTCACCCCCTGATCTCTGACACCCACAGGCATGAGGAACCTTCCATGTGGGGTGTGCAGAAGGGAACCCCCCCCCTTTCTCCTGCCTGTGCCACCTTTTTGCAGAGCCCTGCCATGCCATGAGCTCTTGCTCCTGCTGCCTGTCCCCGCTGGTACCCATGCTCCTGGGACAGCCTTGTCAGGGGGTGGCAAAGGGGTTGGGGGCACCCTTGGCTCTAGGGCTGTTGAAATGCATGGCTCAGAGTTAATGTTTTAGGGATAAAGAACAGAGATCACCATTTTATGCAGGAAGATTTTGGTTCTGTAAACAGACCTGAGGCAGAGTTTGCAAACAGCCAGCTCAGTGGAAGGAACTGGAAATGAAAAAAAAACCCAAACCCAAACCAAACCCCCTAAAATGAGAAGGATTAGTTTATTCTGTACTAAATGAATCATTTGGAGCAGAGTGTGAGCACCTGGAGAGGACTACAGCTCTGTTTTTCTTTCTATGCTCTTTTATTCTCTGTCCAGGGAGTCCTGAATTCTCTCTGTCAGATGCAGAGCTCCATAGCAATGGGTGAGCATCACTGCCTGCAGTAGCACATAGCTGATTCTCCTTCTTTTGGACAGAGGGAAATGGGGAGCTGAGTCTGGAGACCACCACACCATCTCCCCATCCCAAGTCAATACTTTAATCAGTAGAATACTACACAGAAGAAGGGAGTGGCTGTCTTGAAAGAAAGCAGGAGCCATAATTGTGTTTTAGAGGAAACTAACTCTCTAAACTTGTTCCATATGTCTTCTGAGGAGGTTTTGGGAAGGTGCAGCGCCTCTCGCACTGGTATCTGAGGGTGACAGGCACTGCGCTTGAATCAAGTCCTGTATCAGCACCTCTCCATTTAAGTGCTCTGCCTTCTGTGATAAAATTATCCTGCTTTTAAAGATTTCTGTTTCCTGAGTGTCTATTTGAACCTGTTGCTGGTACAGAAACATTTTTCCTATTTCTTCAGGTTTAAAATGATTTTTTAAAATAGAATGAAAAATTGACACACTGGCTGAAAAAAGAACCCCAAACCACACACACACCAATCTTGGTGCCAAACTGATTGGAAATAGAAGTGTTTAGGGCTCTGAATTTGAAGGTCCCAGGAGCCGGAGATCATCCTAAGTGTCACAGCAAAAAAACCCCAAGCAAGTTTAAGAAAACGTCTGTAGAGTCATCCTTATGAATGCACTGACAGATAGAAATCCCCCAATATTTGCTATGCCCTCAATACTGGCCATGGTAGACTAAGCAGCAGTCAAAATGCTTGAAAAGAAGCTGAGGACGAATTCATTAATGAGTGCTGGGTGTGCTGAAAGCCTCTGCACATTGAGGGGTGAGGGAGCAGAGCTGCCTGCGATACAGAAGCACTGCAGCAATCTCTATGACAGCTGACAAAACTGAAAGTGCCAGATGTCAGGGAATTACTTCAGGACACACAAATGCTCTTTCTCTTTCACATGTGTTTACCATACATGTGCTGTTCTTTGCTGTCAGGCAGAGAGGAAAAAGAGAAAAGGTTCTCCAAGCTGGTGGCTGGATGCAGCTTGACATGGATAATTATCACAGCCTTTATCGGTTGCTTGCTGCTTTCATGCTGAAGAATTACACCTCTGCAGACTAGCTGCAGAGCTGATCTAAATTTTAGGTAATTCTCTGGTACATTGTTTCTCTTCTCAAAATGGCTTTATTGAGTGCTTGTCAGAGTGATGACCACCACACAATACCATTAGCAGAGCACTAACAGCAACATCCCCGAGACAGACTGCTCCTCTCTAAGGCACTTGAATTTGCTATAGAAAGTTTTCTCTATCATCTAATTTCTTCAGGGCATGTATGCCTCTCCCGGCCATTCAGCCTTGTTGTAGAAGTTCATCTTTGCCGCTGACATGAAAAAAGCCAGGATTTCATCTTAGATGTTTCAAAAGGTGTATTTCTTCTCCCAGTACAAGAAGGCACAATTATGTCTGTGTTTGCTGACAGTGAGTGTCAGCTGAGAGAGAAAGCCCAAGATTTCTCTGTCTCATGTAGAGCGAAGAATCTCAAGACAGCTGCGTGGCTTTCATCACTTTCTGTTTGATCAGACACCTCACTATGAATCTGACTGAGTCCTAAGGCTTCTGGGTTCTTCCTGGACCCAATGTCAAGTTCAGATTACCCACCATGGTGCTCGAGACAGACCAAGGTACCTCCTGTAGCACTGGACTAGCTCTCCTGAACTGCTGTAAATGAAAGTATTATGAAGGTGGGTCATTCCCTAGTCATCTTCCTCTCTTAAAGCTGTATTTCTTACTCTGATTGAATGACTGATTAACACGACTTTCAAAATACAACTTAGTAGGACACCCGTAGAGTACTATAGCCATGGCTGAAGTTGTTTAACATCCACCTGGACACCATCCTTGAGCACAGAAAGAGTCCTAACCTGTCCAGGAATTTCTATGCTAATTCATGAGCTCTTTCATATCCCAAACAGACTATTAAAAATACTTTCTTCCTGAATTACCGTTGTATATGTAATTTTACATTTCTGCAGTGCTTGCTCACTGGCATGGTCTGGCAGCCTGATTAGGTAAATCAGAAAAGAGGTTGTATAAAAGCAATTGCTTTCCACCATGCAAGCAAGAGTCCTTGATGTCTGCAGATCCCAAACGCAATGCCCCTTACCTAGCAACACTGTCAGTTCTAAACATTCATGAAGACCAATGACATTAAATTTTTATCCTACTGGTTTAATAAACCATTTTCTGATTGAAATGAAACATGAGGTCTTTCCCTCTGTCTTTCGGAGGAGGCATTTGGGTAGAAGAACTCAGGGAGAACGCAGACACTTTGATTTTGGCCCTTAGCACATCCCTAAGGATGTGCCATGATCCATTCCTTGCTGTATTGAGGGGAATATTACGCTTGTATTGTGTCATGCTGCAGGTCACCTGTAGCCAGTGACAGTCCCACCTCAGTCCTGTGTCCTTTTTGCAGAGATTAATGCACTTTTTCTGCCATGAATTTGGCTGCAGTTCCAAGCCTCCTCAGCAAGCAGGACAACAGGGATTTTCAGCACAGCTTGGGTGGAGTGGTGGATACAGAAGAGTAGATCGATTTTCCATACCAGAAGAAGGCTAAACCGCACCTTTTAATTCTGGCTTTTTCTTCCTCCTGATTTTCTTCCTCCTTCCTTCCTCTTGCTGTGGCTGTCCTGGGATCATCACTTCCAGGTGCGTTTTGGTCTGCAGTCATCCTGAGAAGGGCAAGGAATAAATTTCAGCCTCACTTCATGTCAGTGCTAGAGATGAAAACTGAATATATCCACACTTCAACCACATTTGAATAGATACGAGTACAAAAGTTTTCCTTTTGCAAACAACTCAGAGTTGTGCTGTTCCTGGTGCATATCAGTTAAAATGTGGGTACCTGACAGCGCAGTCTAATAGTGATTAATGACTCGACAGAGTAACCATCCTCTAACCCATATGAGCAGCATACCCACCAGGTGCTGTTCACT